GGGTATGCGGAGTGGAACGCCAAGGTGCGGGCTCGACCGCGCCATCCACATACGCCCCCCGCCTTCGGCCTTTTTGACTGTCTTGACACCGGGTCCAGGTGGGGAAGGGAAGGTGCGGTAAATGCTGTGCAAGTCTACATTTATTATAAACTAATTCACGCGCAAGTCACCGTGTCTGCTGCACCTTGCTGTGTAGCACACAACGAGTTATTGCAGCATCCCACCAAACTGCACTAATAGCAGTGACATATCTCATAAAATGTTCACCGAAAGTCTGAAACATGCCTTCAGTTAAAAAGGACAACTTAGGCGGGTTTTAACACTGCTTCTTGCACATCATAATTCTAAGATGTTTTCATCAAGCTCCTAAAACGGCGTTGACAACTGAGATACTGTCTGTAGGACGTGTCTGGACAGTCCGACTTCGAGAACGACGCCTACGGACTGCCCCACGGAGCAGTGTACGGCCTGGGCAGATCGCGGCACGAACTTCTAAACAACCGTCTGGCGCCGTAGATGTTTCCTATTGATCCTGGTTGCTGGTTCTGTGGTTGGCATCGAAAATCAATGAGAAAATTGCATGCCGCATAAAAGGTCATTTTTTGCAAATTATGGTTCTTACAAGCAACCGGACATAACTTCATTCGAAAGCCGACACCTTGATGTAACTGGATCATTATAGAACTATACTGCAGACTGATTAGTTTTACAACCCTACTTAATTAATCTTTTCGACAAGAGAACGCATTTCGAAATTTCGGTTGACATTTCACGAGTTAGCCCACCTAATATAAGTAAGGGGTGTTGTAATACTGATCATCCTGCGGCATAGTTCCAAAGTAATTTAGTAACTTCAGGATGCCAATTTTTCAATGAGCTTCTTTCCGGCGTAAAACTGGTCCATAAGTAGTATGCATTTTTCAAATGTATTTAAATGCATTCCTTTATTTAAATAGATTTTATAGAAATCGCGCACAAAATATTCTCTCTTACAATCATTTGGTAGCAAACCGCATGTTCTTCAAATTTTTTATTCGAAAAAAGTGTAGTCTTAGGATTGAAAAGTTTTTGATCATTATATTTTTTAAAACCAGGAAATGCCTATTTATAAAACGTCACATTTGTCCGTTTATTAATGCTGCTTACGTAACATAAAACCTGATTCACATCTACTGGGAAATGTTATGCGCTTTACATGACACCTTCCTAATAGCATGGAGAAGGTGTGATTTTCCCCACACGGATGGAAAACAGCATATGATTTGTAAACCCCAAAGCACAACTTCAAATGTAAGTCGGATTCAAAATTAGCCAAGAATAGAAAGTTAATTTAAAAACCTAAAATTCCTTTTCTCCAAGGCGAAAATTCGGGCAAAATGTGGACGGTTACCAAATAAATACAAGAAGAAATTGTTTTATTTTCACTTAACCGTGAAAAAATCCGGCTCATTGGTGGGATTCGAACCCATGACAGTATAGGGGAAGGCTTCAGTATAGCCAACGCTCCAGCCACCTGAGATATAAGGCCCCACCATTCAAGATAAATTATTCAAAATCTGCCAAAACACCTATGAATTACGTGAGCCCGGTAGTCATCTGTTGGATTCTAGGTGAATTACTTAGGAAATCCTGCTTGGGCAGTTACCTTACTGTATCAGATTTAGTGAAATCCAGACGTTGCAGTAGGTTGGGCGGGTAACCTGACACAAATATGATTAAACTCGCGTCGTCCGGCTGGGCCTCGTAGCTCAAGTGGCTTGACCGATGGCTGTACAGAAGCCTTCCTTTTGCAGTCGTGGGTTTGAATCTCACCGTGGCGCCGAGTTTTCCACCGTTGTGTCCATAAAAATTACTCAAAATCTGGCAAAACATCTATAAATGTTTTTCTGTGCGTTTTCTTTTGCCCTTCTTATGGAAAACGTCTACAGCATTATATCATTATAACAGACAAACATCCAGTCTACTACAGTGCTATGGTAGGCGAATAATAAGACCCAAAAACATAAGCAACGAAGCACATTTTAATTACCACTTCGTTCTTTTAAAACACCCTTAAAAACCTCAAAAATTTCACGTTATTACCGTTAGTCAAGCGTATAAGTAAGTTTGACGAAGTAAGTAGAAACACGTAGTCTTTTATCTCATTTGTAATCACTTTCTTATGGTCGACAGCATGATGAGACAAGAGCGACTGTTAAGCTCGTGTGCGCAGACAGTTTTGCTTTGAAAGGGCACAAACACGGCCACTGCGATTGTTCAGGTTGTGCTTAAATTTGGCCGCTTTACTAAACCCACGGACAAAAATTGTTCATACTAATTTAGATGAAAATATCAGGGTCCGACTGAATCGGTGGGAATTTCTCCAGTGACAGATTATTCACTTTCATCAGGGAGAAAAAATAACTTGGTTGGTTGTTTGAGATTAAATCCTAAATGGCCCCGGGATTTCAGACAGTACTACAAAAGGACAGATTGCAGTCTAATTAATTGTGCTGACATCGTTCAGAAAACAAAAATAAAACCCCATACCCCCACCGGCCGTTATTGTTTTTGCCGAAGGCTTACCTAACGGCAAATTGCCTCTTCCACTGCGATATTCCGCACTGGTGCATATCAGCGCATAAATTGCTAACGCCAATCTTCCATGTCGTCAAACTGCACTGCATCCTTTGATGATAGATTAGATTATGCATGGAGAGGTTGCACTGATGGAGGCTAGTTACACGTAACCAGTTTCTTCTCGAGAATTTAGGCGATCGGTCGGTCTGACAGCTGAATGCTCGACCGCACAATTGCAGGCCAACGGCTTAGACCACTTGATCACAAGGGTGCTCGATGTCTATCCTCCTCACCGAAGCAGATTCCACATACCCGGCAGCAGAGATGGGCGCCAGCGCCTCGTCAGACGCATACATGAATCCACAAAATTCAAAAATGCTATTCGATAAGATCGAAAACTTACGGCCTCCTTACCATCAGCATCTAGTCATAACTTTGCTCTAGAATGAAGAAAAACTCGGTTTATAATTGCTCCGTCGATACGCAATGGCCCTGGAGGAAAAAGCATGCCCGTGTCAGGTCATGAGATCATGCCGCATTGGGGGGGGTGGATTCCTCTCCAAAGCAATCACGCCACACTGCCATTCGCATCTTCAATCTTTTAACTTGTTCAGGGGCCTTGGGCGCAGTAACTTGTCTATTGGTCAACTTTTGAAGACATTCATTAAAGTAAGAATGAAGGCACAGTGAGTGACAGATCTCATGAAATGTTGGCTGAAATTATGAAATGCGTTTTCGGTTAGGAAGGACTACTTGGTCGCAGTTGTAATACTGATTATCTTGCGGCATAATCTTATAACGTTTTGGACTTGGCAGGATGTCAACTTTTGAATAAACTGCTTTCTAATCTCCTATAGAAACCGTGGTTGGTAAAAAAATGACTACTTATATAGCATACATTTTCCCCATTGATTTTCGATGGTCTTGCAACTTAAATATATCTTATAGAAACAATGAACAAAAATATGCTTTCTTTCAGTCAATTAATAAAGAATCACATCGGCTTTATATTTCATACTCAAGGAAGGAGTATAATTAGGTTTAAAGAGTTTCTAACTATGAGATTTTTTAAGACCTCACAATGTCCATTCAAATAGCATCGTACCTTTCCGTTTACCGCAGCTCCTCATGAAATCTACAACATAGTCCGCACCCGTTGCAAAATTTTATGGAGTCTGTATGATATCTTTTTAATGGCACAGAAAAATATATGATTTTCTTTACGCTGAACGCATGCACCTTGTAGACTGAAATCACTAAGCCCTAATGCAACGAATGATCAGGCTCCAAATTAGTCGTCAATTAGAAAACTATTTAAAAATTTAAATATACTCCGTTCTTGAATATGACTTATAAAGAAGATGTGCTTCTCTATTAATTGACTGAAAGAAAGCATATTTTTGCTCATGGTTTCTATAAGATATATTTGAATTTTCAAGGCCATCGAAAATCAACGGAAAAAAATGCGTGCTACATATGCAGTCATTTTTTACCGAGTACGGTTTCTATAGGAGATTAGAAAGCAGTGTATTCAAAAGTTGACATCCTGCCAAGTCCGAAACGTTATAAGATTATGCCGCAAGATAAGCAGTATTACAACCGCGACCATGTGATCCTTCCTAATCAAAAACGCATTTCAGAATTTCAGCCAACATTTTGTGAGATCGGTCACTCACTGTAGCTCAGCCTAGGTTGGCCTTATCTGCATGTGTGTGGGGCAGTAATTGCAACATGGATGCCTACTGCCGCACGAAGTCAAAACTCCCGAATTTGGTCTTCATAAAATTAAGATCCCAGGGGCCGACTCTCACTTCGTCCTCTGTCACAGAGAACCATGGGACTCTTCTGGTAGACACGGTGTGACGATCTCCCTTTTGTAAAAGGCAAACCATGCATTACCTGTGTAGGGGTGTCCAGTTGTGGGTCCACGTGATGGTTGTAGTAGATCGCTCACGTGCTTGCAGGTGTAGTCTACGCCTTGCGTCTGTTTAATGGCACCCACCTCTCACATGTGGCTCCCCGAAGATAAGCTCTGCCAGGCGGCCACACACCGGTAACCGCCTCGGTCTGCGAGCCAAACCAGGTTAGCGTATCCCTGTTTACATCTTTACACACGGTAACTCGATTTCATTTCCACAATCGCTAGCCGGACGGATCACTGCATTCGCCGCTTCGTCTGCAACCCCCCTAGAGG